GTCTACCTGACTGTGCACCAACAAACAATATAACACATACCACCCTCCGCGCAACCTTTCACGGAGGTCACACGCCCAGCATGCGTACTTTCTGTCGCCGCCCGCAACCACAATTCGACGCCCACTCGGCGCGAAAGATTTCACTTTCTTAGGCATTCAAAGTTTGGCCGTGTGTTGTGGTGCATGTGAGAAATGGAACCCAAACTGCGGCAATCCTAGAGAACACATATGAGTCCTCATTAGGACATAACTTCCCCCTCCAAACCCAGGCCGTTATGCAAATTCCCCGCTCGGTGCTTCTGTTAGCCCAATCTCGGTACACATGCTAAGTGAATCCGGCCCGACGGTCTTCTTCGCTACGTATAGTATCGAATGACGCGAATGCATTCCTCGACTGCGCAATGCTGAGACGTAGTCCCCAGCTTTTTGCGCCAACCAACTCTGCCTTACGCCCAACGTAGTATAGCATCCGGTAACCTCTCTACATAGTGAGTAGTCGATATGGTTAAAACACAATCACATGCACTCTATTAAAAGCGTGTAGAGACAGAATTATGTCAGCAACGTCTCTCCAGTTCTAGCCAACAGCGGCACCGAAGTCGCGCGCCAGACACCACATGCGTTCAGTGTATCCAGCATGTTAAGACGATCAGTAAAAGCCCCACCCGTAGCAATAATGATCGCCACCCAAGTAATGGATAATCGTTGTCTCATTACGCTTGCGAGAGGGGAGAGATGGAGGGAGGGAAGACGAGGTATGTCGTAATAGGAAAGCGAACTCGTTACCGTAGGCACGTAAGCCAATAGGGACGATTCGATTAGCATGCAGGATGATATGAAGTTGAGAAGGTCGCAAAGGAATTCTCGCCGCAATCGCCGCGTGCTCGGCCGGTAAGTTGCTGGTTTGATAGTAAACTTGATTAGGATCAAAAGATATGAAGCGATTTGCGGGGGACGCGGCAACATGAACGCGCATGCGGTTAGAGCGTGTAGGAAAGAAGGAGAAACTCTGAAAGGTACGATAAGGAGTCCAGAGGAGAGCCGTGTGAAGTTTTTAGGAAAGGCTATGCAGGACGTGATTATAAAGGAAGGATAGATGAGGAGAAAGCCAGAGGAGGACGAGGAGAGCTCTAGTCCAAACGATGAAATAGAGGGAAGACAAGAGGTGCCAGTCGATAAACGAGATAAGAACCGAAGAGGAGGAGGAGAAAGAGGGCACGGCGAGCTGAATATGAGGAGAAAAGAAATCAAGAGCAGAGAGAGAGAGAGGAGAGAGAGAAGAACGAGAACGCGAGAGAGAGCGAGAGGGAGAGGGGGAGAGAGAGCGCGGCAGAGATGTACAGTAAAGAGACGAATACGTGCGTACATGACAAACCCGCGACCCCGACCTGCACAGCGTCCGGAGAATTGCTGCTTGCTCGTTCGTCCAGTCAGCACCGAAACCAAACCAGAACACCCGCCGTGTCTCTCGCGTCTGCAACTTACGTTATTTTAAAAACGCAGGACGACTTGAACACGTCTTCGCGCTGTCCAGACGCGCGCCCACGCCGGGTCTGGCTCACAACGGCCATACAACCCCAGTCTCAAACCACACTGCACGCCAGCACGAGACCATGCGATGTTACGCCTTAGTAACGGCGCGCCTAACTAGCGTTGAAACAGCATCTTTGAGGCCTTAGCGAGAGGTTGTGGGTTGTGATCGAGGAGTGAGGCGTGCCTTTCGATGAGCTGAGCAGCCACGATCGCCGTTCGCTGCTCGCTTTCCCAATCCGTGCACTGATGGTGTGTTAACTCGCACATTTAATCACTCTTCATGTTCTTTTCTTGCATATAATGTGTCTCTTCATTTGTGTCGATGTGTAGTGCTGTGTGTGATGTGTCTTCTTTCTCTCTCCCACCTGCTTACCATTCTTTTTCTCTTTTTCCAAAAAAATCACTCTGTGTGGGTATGTGTGACTGTGAACTATTTAGTTTCCACCCATTTTTTTCTCTTTCATGTGATGACCTTCTCCGCTGCGCCGCGCGCGCTCAGCGCTTGTGCGTGTGCGTCGTGCGTCGTGCATTTCGTTTATGTTGCCACGCTTCCTCCATACGCTTTATGCTCGCCGCTGTTCTCGTTGTGTTATGTCTCAGCGTTTCGCTTGCTTCCACTGCGCCTTTTCTCTTCTCTCCTCGCGCTCCTTGCCCTCCGCCTCGTGTTGCCTCCGCAATGTGCCGTCTTTGGCGCCTGCGGATAATCTTTCTTGCGCCAGGCATGCCGACGCTTGACCTCGAAGCGTCGCTATGATTAGCTTCAGCTTCGTAAAGCACACGTGGCCATAACCGAGATGACTACCGTGGCCCTCCCCTCCATTCCAGCGCAGCTCCGTACCCCCGCCCCCAACGCGCCGCCAGCGCGCTACGCTACTCATAGCTTCTGTGTTGGAAACCTCCTGCGGAACTCTCATGCGTGACCTGTGCGTCTTCCGCTACCGAGTACCCTAGTCCTCCCTACCCTGCTCTCCCACCCTACCGGGCTCCCCGCCCCTCCCCTGCTCCCCACTTCTCCCCCCTACCCTCTCTCTCCCTACCCTGCGCTCCTCCCCTACCTGCTCCCCCCGGCCTACCCTGCGCTGTCCCCGCTTTGTCCCCGCTGACCCTCGCCGCGCGCCACTGCGTTACCCTGCGCCCCATCCCCTACCCCTGCTGCTCGTCGCTCGTACTCACTGATCTACTCCCTGATCCCCTCCCCCTACTGCTCCCTCTCCCCTACCCTGCTCCCCCTCCCCTACCCTGCTCCCCCTCCCCTACCCTGCTCCCTCTCCCCTACCCTACTCCCTCTCCCATACCCTGCTCCCTCTCCCCTACCCTGCTCCCCATCCCCTGCCCGCGGTGCTACTACTGCTGCTATTGCTGCTGCGACTGTGGCAGTCCAGGAGGATGCTGACAGTGTGTCGCTTGCGCCCTCGCTCTCTCGCTCGCCTTGAAGCTAATAGAAGCTACTAGACGCTATCGTCGTTGCGGCGACGCAGGCTGGCTCTTGCTCCTCAGACATATAATAGTTTCATACGTCTACTCCGGCCTTGCCATTCAGAACGTCTCCGTCGCTGTGTTCTAGAGAGGCAGGGGAAATCTACGTGACATCGGTGACGTATTGTCGGCGACATCGCAGCCTCCGGATGAGGATCGGTTGCCAACGTTACCGTGAGAACATCCACCGAGGATGCTGTAATACGGACTGCGGATAGCCGACGGAGATTTGTCGCGGTTGTTCTACTTGTACGTATGCATGTATGAGTGAGTTTATATATTAACGTATATAGACATAAGGATGAAAGAGGTTTTGACCGCAGTGTTTATTGAATGCCGATAAAACAACAGCGTATTCAAATATTTACGCGTTTTCAATTTCATATGAAGACTTTAATGTAATTGATTATCGTGAACGCGTGTGTGCGCGTTGGCGTGCGTGCGTGCGTGTGTGCGTGCGTGCGTATGTATGTGTGCGTGTGCGTATGTTTGAGG